CACAATACCTTTACTTTATTTTTATGTGGTGCTGAGGATTGAACCCAGTGCCTCACATGTGCTAGGCAGGTGGTCTACCACTGAGCTATAACCCCAGCCCACTTTTTTTTTTTTTTTTTTGGTCAGTGGACCTTTATTTTATTTATTTATTTATATGTGATGCTGAGACTTGAACCCAGTATCTCTCACATACCAGGCAAGTGCTCTACCACTGAGCCACAACTCCTGCCCCCAGGTTTTTCCTTTACACAACAGATTCTTCATGGAAAATGGCACTCTCTAGGCCGACAGTTGCTTGTAGACATATACTTATTTATTGCTACCTTATTTAAGTAGTCCTGAACTTGTCTAGCATAGCAGCTGCTGCAGCTAGCTCAGCAGTTGTGTGTTGTTATTATTTTTAATATTTTTTTTAGATGTCAATGGACCTTTTTTTAAAATTCATTTATTTATATGCAGTGCTGAGAATCGAACCCAGTGCTTCATACCTACTAGGAAAGCTCTCTTCCACTGAGCCACAACTCTAGCTCAGCAGTTGTGTTCAATCTAGATGATGCTCCCCTCTGAGATGCTGGGTCAGATAGGACTTGATACTATCTTCTTAGCTTTCCATCTACTGGAAATCTCTTAAGTAACTCTTTGGGTAAATATTATTATAACAGAGAATTGGAAGTTGTTTTTGCTAAGAGATCTAAATCTTCATTTGGGCCTACAGATTCCCAGTGAATGAATAAATTTCTGCTCTCATTTTATCTGTTTTCAGATTTCTGCTCAGCTCTATAGGTAATACAGGTTTATTAGCCCTAAATTTACCTAACCTATTTCATCTGCCTTCAAGACTGAGAACACCAAGAATCATTAAGGCATTTTCAAGATTTACAGGGACATTCAACTTCCAGCTTGTATAAAGTTGCTCCAGGACCCCGGAATAGAGCCCAGAATTCTTCAGTCATTGCCCTACACCTTCCTGGAAGAGCAGAGCCATGCACAAAGATCACCCCACGATGAGACTGCCCCCTTAAGCAGAAACAGGTCCTGGAAATCATGGGAACTGAATTGCTCCCTTCCCAGTACAGGCCTGATAGTTAAACACCCTGAGTAGCAAGTGGAGATTGCCCCTCAAATGATAAGGACTTCTCCTGAGCACCTTGCAGAATAGGACAGAAGGATCAACCAGGCCACAGTTTGACCAAAACTGTTGTGCAGACCTCTTGCCCCCTGCCCAGAATTCTTCCTCTATTTAAACCTAAATCTCTTGTTAGTATCCCAAAGATAGGTTTGAGACACTTGATCTCACTTTGCCTTCCCAATATGGCCACATTGATTGAAGTTCCTTTCTTGCTTTTCATAGTTTTTTGTTTGTTTGTTTGTGTTTATGATCAAGTAGCTGGAACTGATTTGTTGGGACCCAGAGTCAAGCCTCAGTAACATTATTAGTTATATATTCCTCATTTGATCTCCTCCTATCAAGGTTGGGGAACTGCTTTTTTCTTTTTCTTTTTTAGTTTCTTACAACTGTAAGAAGTTCAGAAATTGTTGCAAACAACAAAATTACAGAAAAGAATCCACTTGTTATTTCAGACCTTCAGAGATTATCAAGCATCATTAGCATTTCTGATTTTTGTTTTATTTTTTGTACTGATATTGAACCATGGGGTGCTTTACCACTGAGTTACATCCATGGTCCTATTTTTTCCTCCCTCAGAAGGGGTCACATTAAGTTGTTGAGGTTGCCCTGGAACTTTCACTTCTCACCTCAACCTCCCAATTGGGTGTAGGTGTGGGCCACTGTATCTGGCTGCATCTTCAGCATTTCAACCTCCTAAGTGACTCTTTTTTCCTTCCTGTCTCTACTAGAGATTGAATCCAAGGTTGCTCTACCACTGAGCTACATTCCCAGCTCTTTTTGTTGTTGTTTAAATATTTTTTGTAGTTGTAGATGGATACAATACCTTTATTTTATTTATTTGTCTTTATGTGGTGCTGAGGATTGAACACAGGGCCTCATACATATGTGCTAGGCAAGCACTCTACCACTGAGCTACAATCCAAGCCCCTCTTTTTTTTTAATATTTATTTTTTAGTTGTAGTTGAACACAATACCTTTATTTTATTTATTTATATATCGTGCTGTGAATTGAACCCAGGGCCTCGCACGTGCTAGCCGAACGCTCTACTGCTGAGCCACAACCCCAGCCTCTCTCTTTTTGTTTTTATTTTGAGACAGAATCTTACTAAGTTGCCCAGGTTGGCCTTGAATTTGTGATTCTCTTGCCTCAGCCTCCTGAGTAGCTGGGATTTCAGGTGTGTACCACTGTATCTAGCTAGACTTTATTTTTTAAAAAGTTAGATTTTTGAATCCAGGCGTGGTGGCACATGCCCGTAATTCCAGTGGCTAGATTTTGTGTGCGTGTGTGGTACTAAGGATTAGATTCAGGGTTTTATGCATGCTGGACTTTAAATGGTTTTTATTGCTTTAAAAGGTTTTTATTTGCATTTATTTCATCATGAATGCAGTTGTTCATTGTGTGCTTAAAAGCCACGTATGTTTCTGGGTTGTGGATGTAGCTCTCTGGTAGAATGTTTGCCTAACTTGCTTGAGGTCCTGTGATTGCCCAGCACTGGGAGGAAAAAGTAATTTATTTAGTTTTTTAAAAATTTATTTTTAGGGGCTGGGGATGTGGCTCAAGCGGTAGCGCGCTCGCCTGGCATGCGTGCGGCCCGGGTTCGATCCTCAGCACCACATACAAACAATGTTGTGTCTGCCGAAAACTAAAAAATAAATATTAAAAAATTCTCTCTCTCTCTCACTTTCTCTTTAAAAAAAATTATTTTTAGTTGTAGATGGGTACATACCTCTACCATTTATTTATTTATTTATTTTAATATGGTGCTGGGGATTGAACCCAATGCCTCACTTTTGAGGCAAGCGCCCTACCCCTGAGCCAAAGCCCCAGCCTCCCTCATGTATTTCTTTTTCTTTTTTTAATATTTATTTTTTAGTTGTAGTTGGACACAATATCTTTATTTCACTTATTTATTTTTTATGTGGTGCTGAGGATCGAACTCAGGATCTCGCACATGCAAGGTGGTGAGCTCTCTATCACTGAGCCGCAACCCCAGCCCCTGTATTTCTTTGCTGTATATTAGAAATAGAAATACAGAGAAGTATTGGGCTGGGGACGTGGCTCAAGCGGTAGCGTGCTCGCCTGGCATGCATGAGGCACTGGGTTTGATCCTCAGCACCACATAAAAATAAAATAAAGATGTTGTGTCCACCGAAAACTAAAAAATAAATATTAAAAATAAATCTCTCTCTCTCTCTCAAAAAATTTTTTTTGTTCCCATGAATTTCTGTTCATAGCTCTTTGTTTTGTGTTTTCATTATTTCTTTTTTAAAAAAATATTTCAGTTATAAATGAACACAATACCTTTATTTTATTTATTTTTATGTGGTGTTGGGGATCAACCCCAGTCCCTCACACATCCTAAGCAAGTGCTTTACCACTGAGCCACAGCCCCAGCCTCTTGATTATTTCTTAAGTGTAGCACGGTATAGAAGCAGACTGGAGGTTCAGAGTATGACATTTTTAAGGATCTTGAAAATGCATTCATATTGCCAAAAATATTTACCAATATATATTTCCACCCATAACGTGTAAGTGTTCAATTTGATGTTTGTGTAAATGAGTAAATAATTAAACTGATATTAGGAATTGAGTGGGAAAGTCCAGTTCATAGATTTAACTCAGATTATCATCATCATCATCATCATCATCATCATTTTGTGTGTGTGGTGCTGGGGCTCAAAACCAGGGGCTTATGCTTCCTAGGCAAGCACTTTACCACTGAGCCACATCCCCAACCCTATTTCTTTCTTTTTTTTTTTTTTTTTTTTAATAATCTGTGTTCTAGTAAGATTTTTTTGTTCTTTTTTGTTTTTGTTTTGGGTATTGGCAATTGAATCCAGGGTCACTTTACTGCTGTGCTAATCCCTAGCCCTTTAATTTTTTTAATTTTGTGATAGGACTTTTTTTTTTTTTAAAGAGAGAGAATTTCTTTTTTAATATTTATTTTTCAGTTTTCGGCGGACACAACATCTTTGTTTTTTGTATGTGGTGCTGAGGATCGAACCCAGGCCACCCGCATGCCAGGCAAGCTCTCTACCGCTTGAGCCACAACCCCAGCCCTGATAGGACTTTTTTATTTTACTTAAGGCCTTGCTAAATTGCTGAGGCTGGCCTCAAACTTGTGATCCTCCCAGGTTGTTGGGATTATAGGTGTATGCCACCATGCCCTGGCTGCTGCTTTTTTTTGGCGGGGGGGGGGTACTGGAATTGAACTCAGGGGTGCTCTACCACTGAGCTACATCCCCAGTCCTCAGTCCTTTTATTTTTTATTTTGAGACAGGGTCTCATAAAGTTGCTTGGGGCCTCACTTAGTTGCTGAGTGAGGCTGGCCTTGAACTTGAAATCCTCCTGCTTAGCCTCCTAAGTCACTGGGATTACAGGCATACACCACCTTCCAGCTTGCCTTCTTATTGTTATTCATGATTGCAGTTCTTTTTCCATGTTCTTTCTTTCTTCATTCTCTTTCTGATGCCTCTTCTCCTCCTTTACAGCCATCAAAATCCTACTGATTCTTTCAAGGCCCACCATTCATCCATTCTAGCCAAGAGTTTTAATAAGAACAGAATGATTACACATGTTCATTGAATTTGACAGTTACTTAGTTTTCCTGGTTGCCTTTTTAGCTGCATGATCCTCTTATACTGGAGGGTGGGTTCCTGAGAATGGGCATTGTGTCCTCTCTCTTTTGTGTTTTTACAGTTCCAGTCATACTGCCTTACTTGTTTTTAAGTTTTTCAGTAATTGCCAGCTGATTGTCACATCTGTAGTCGCTTTAAGTGGAATATCCTAAACCTCCAACCTTAATATAGAATATCTTATCCAAAGCACCACCAGCTTGGCTGAAAGAGTTTTGCTTATATTTTCTTACAGGGGCTACTGTTCCCGCAGACAAAGACGTCTCCGGAAAACACTCAATTTTAAGATGGGCAACAGACACAAATTCACAGGGAAAAAAGTAACTGAAGATCTTCTGACTGATAATAGGTATTGACTGCTGAGTGCAAGGCACTCAGTACATCTTGCTAATAGATCTATTGAATAGTTACAGTGTGCCAGACATTATCTCAAACCTTTTAATTATCTCATGTGACTCAGCAGCTCTGTGGGATGTGCATTTTATACTATTCCTGTATTCTAAAGTGAAGAAACTGAGGCTCAGAGATTCAGTAGCTTGTTCAGGAACTGTGTTAGGATGGTAAATGTTAAAGTTAGTCATTAGAATCCAGTCAGTTATTTTCGGGCTGAGGGTGCGGCTTAGTGGTAGAGTGCATGCTTAGTATGTGTAAGGACCTGGGTCAATCCCCATTGTTTCAGGGGAAAAAAAGGAATCAATTATTAGATAAGATTGTAGAATGCATATTTCAATGTCTAACACTTAAATCAATATATCTTAAATTTAGCTGTGTGTAAATTATCACAGAATCACTTCAGTAATGTCTGTTTCCACACTGAGTACACTGATACTTCACATTTGGTGAAAAATCGGTCTGTCAAGCAACGTGTATTGAATGTCTCCACGTCAGTTCCTCAAACTTCAGTTAGGGCTATATCATTTTCTTGCTACTTGTTTGTGTAAATAAAGTTTTACTGGAACACAGGCATACCAAATCATTTTATTGTTTATAGCTTACTTTTGTGTTACAACAGCAGAGTAGTAGTGACAGGGATCATGGCCTGCAAATCCTAAAGTATGTACTGTGGGGGCATTTACAAAAAAACCCATGTGCTCGCCAGTGGTCTGGTATAAGCTAGATGCCTTGTTGTGTATAGAAGAGGGAAAGGAGGGAAAGCTCAGACAGATGTTAGTTCCTACTCTAACAGTGCAGAGTCTAGGAGTCTTGTGTAGAGGGCATAGTCAGAAAGTTGGAGTGTAGAGAGAGTGATGGGTTGTGCAGGACTGAATGATTAGATCTCATGAGGTCCATTTAGAGTCAGAAATTAGGTAATGAAATATGACTCTCTTAGGATAGCAGGATTCTTTATTTTGGAGAGACTTAGTTTTTCTAAGTTTAAAGAAGATTAAGACAGTAATTTGAAGAAAGATTCACCCAGGATAGTAATAAAGGAGTTAGCTTATTGAGCACTTAAGAAGTGCTCTCTGGTCTAAGGGTCTTGTGTATATGACTACATGGGAAAGTGAGACACAGAATAATTAGTACTTTACTCAAGTCACACAGCTAGTGAAGGCACTGGGATTCCAATCTGTTCTCAGGAGCCTTCATTCATCACCACTTCAGTACTGCCTCTTGAGGACTTAGTTTCTAACTGGACTGGGATGAAGGAGGTATTGATTCAAAGATGAAGCCAGATCAGATGCCTGGACTACCACTGTTTGACAGAATTTAGGAGGGAGAGGTCAGGAGTTCCAATTAGATGTGCCTAGCAGGTGATTAGAAATCTGAGGTGGAGCCTGAGTTGAGGTAAATCCTGATTTGGGAGTCAAGGCTGATATTGTGAGAGGAGGAAGGAAATGAGATTCTGAGTAGAGAAGAACCCCGAAGTGGGAAGCTGTGCCCCAGGGACTGTACTAAGTCTAAATGTCCTGGCCTTCGTTATTCAGCTTTCTCACCTCTCTCTGGTCTAGATATTTGCTTCTGGTTCTGATGGATGCTGAAAGAGCCTGGAGCTATGCCATGCAGCTCAAACAGGAAGCCAACACTGAACCTCGAAAACGGTTTCACTTGCTATCTCGCCTTCGCAAAGCCGTGAAACATGCAGAGGAATTGGAACGCCTGTGCGAGAGCAATCGTGTGGATGCCAAGACCAAGTTAGAGGCTCAGGTTAATGTCTTAACAATCCAGTGTTGTTTTACTGTGGAGATTAGAGATGTGGCCTTAAAAAAATAATCTGTAGCTAAACAGAAGAGAGTTTGTTACCTTATGAATTGATAGAAGAGGAAAAATCCTTTCTGAAACTTGGCCTGGAGTTAGGACATGCTTAGCATGTGTAAGGTCTTGGGTTCAGTCTCCAGTATCAAGAAAAATAATAGTAAATAATAAAAAATGAAATTATACCTCTGTTTTCAAGCTCTTGGGTTTTTATAATTAGCTTTAACTTTAGAAGAAAGGTCATGGTGCTTTTGGTGTGTAGATGGAAAGCTCACATCTTCTACCTGGGAAAGTTCACAAAATAAGTTGTTTTGGTAATGAAAATTTTTTAAAAACATGACAGAAATTGTAAGGTTATATTTAACGTGTTGTTTTGTTTTGTTTTACTGGGGATAAAACCCAGAGCCTCAGGCTTGTTAGGCAAACACTCTACTGAGCAATATCCCCAGCCCTTTTTATTTTGAGACAGGATCTTGATAAATTGCCAAGGCTGGACTTGGATTTGTGATCCTCCTGCCTCTGCCTCCTGAGTTGCTGGGACTACAGGCATGAGTCACCACTCTCACCTTGGCCTCCCCACAATTTTCTTTTTTGGTACTGGGGATTGAACCCAGGGGCTCTTAATCACTAAGCCACGTCCCTAGCCCTTTTTATTTTTTATTTTGAGCAGGGCCTCGCTAAGTTGCTTAGGGCCTCGCTAAGTTGCTGAGGTTAACCTTGAACTTGAGATCCTCCTGCCTTAACTTCCCAAGTTGCTGGGTGTATAGGCATGAACCACTGCACTCAACATTGACCTCCACACTCTTGATATCAGAGTTAGGCTAAAGTGCCAGTTCTTTGGTATTGAAGCAGTTCATCTTTCTCCATTCGTCTGCAGGCTTACACGGCTTACCTTTCAGGAATGTTGCGCTTTGAACATCAGGAATGGAAAGCCGCCATTGAGGCTTTTAACAAATGCAAGTGAGTCTTCTGGTCCAAAGACTGTTGAAGTTTTGATTAAAGGTCAAATTCAAGCTGTGTGGAAATGTTGATTATTTTCTTTTATCCTTAGAACACACTAGTTCTGGCAGTTGGAAAAAGAGTTTCTAAGGACCATTTTTTTGGTCTTAGACACCTTTTTCTTTATTTTCTTAAAATAATGCTGCTGTAAATCTGGCCTTTTTTTTTTTTTTTTGCTTGCAGAACTATCTATGAGAAGCTCGCCAGCGCTTTCACAGAGGAGCAGGCTGTGCTGTATAACCAACGTGTGGAAGAGATCTCCCCCAACATCCGCTACTGTGCATACAATATTGGTGAGCAGGGAATGAGGCAGTGCATCTAACATTGGTAGGGGACTTGCTGGGAGTTCTTTTGAGAGCCTGGAGTGTTTATTTAACTTTTTACCCCTTCCCTTGCTTCCATGCTTGGCCTGAGCTTTGATCCATGACAAAAGTTGAGATGTCAAAATCGGCCCTGCTCAGCATTACAGAAGGCAGTTCCTTGGCTTCTCTTACCATCCTGCCACCTTCTTTAACTCCCTAAGAGCAAGCTTAATTCTCTAGCCAAGGTTTTTTTTTTTTTTTAAACATTTTTAGAGCAATTTTAGGTTCATAGCAATATTGAGAGAAAGGTACAGAAATTTTCATTTATCCCCTCACCCCATACTTGCATGACCTCCCCTCTTATCATTGTCCCCCACCAGAGTGGTATATTTGTTACAATTGATGAACCTACATTGATACATCATAATCTCTGATAATCCATAGTTTACATTAAGGTTCATTTGTGATATTGTACACTGTGGATTTGGATAGATTTTTAAAGTTAAGGTACATGGATCTGCCAGAGTGTTTTCGCTGCTCCAGTTAAGTTCATTCTTTGCAAAAGGCCTTATCTTCAGAAAATAGATCATACTGTGGACTTGCTACCATGTGCTTGTGGAGTGGAAAGAGCTCTGTAAATGTGAGCTGCACTGAGTGGTTCTTAAGAAAACAGACCAGACCCTTAAGGATTTTCTCCTTTCTCTGATTCTCTCTCAGGGGACCAGTCAGCCATCAATGAACTCATGCAGATGAGATTGAGGTCTGGGGGCACTGAGGGTCTCCTGGCTGAAAAACTGGAGGTAATCTAGTATGTACATTTTTTTTGAAAAACTTTGGTTTGAAAGAAATTCATAATTCCATCCCCCAGGGATAGTTGCTATTAATATATGCATGTTTATATCTATTTTTTTTTTTTAATTTTGTTTTTTGTGGTACTGGGTAGGGAACCCAGTGGTGCTGCACAACTGAGCTATATCCGCAGCCCTTTTTTTATTTTGAGACAGGATCTCACTGAGTTTCTGGACTGGCCTTAAACTTGTGATCCTCCGGGGCTGGGGTTATGGCTCAGTGGCAGAGCACTTGCCTAGCATGTGTGAGGCACTTAGTTTGATCCTTAGCACCATATATAAATAAATAAATAATAAAGGTACATCAACAACTAACAAATATTAAACAAAAACAAAAACTTGTGATCCTCCTGCTTCATCCTCTGGAGTAGTCAGGATTACAGGTTGATGCTGCTACCACACCTAAATTGTATCTGTCTGTCTATCTATCTATCTATTTTTTTGGTTCTGGGGATTGAACCCAGGGCTTTGTACATGTGAAGTAAGCACTCTACCAACTGAGCTATATCCCCAGCCCCCTATATATTTAAAAAAAAATTTTTTTTGGTTAGAGATGGACATGACTTTATTTTATTTATTTTTATGTGGTTCTCAGGATTGAACCCAGTGCCTCACATGTTCTAGGCAAGTGTCCTACCACTGAGCGACAACCCCAGCCCTGTCTACATTTTTTTTTTTAATATTTATTTTTTAGGTGTAGATGGACACAACACAAATGCCTTTATTTTTATGTGGTGCTGAGGATCGAACCTGGGTCCCGCCTGTGCTAAGCAAGCACTCTACCGCTAAGCCACAATCCCAGCCCCTGTCTACATTTTTAACAAAAAAGTTCTTTACTTAAATACTGTATTTCATTTTATTTATTTTCTAAGCAAGCAATGTAGATTCATAGAAAAAGTAAGAAATGTCAAAGATTAGAAAAAATATATTTGACTTTTTATAAGCTAATTATATATGATATTAGAAAGGAATCTAAGCAAAAATTTTATGTACTCTACTATATAAGGAGTATGATATGTTGATTATAGAAAGAGACAGTAGATTTCTTTTTTTCGCTGTCAAAGCTTTTAACTATTTACTGTTTTCCAGGCATTGATCACGCAGACTCGAGCCAAGCAGGCAGCTACCATGAGTGAAGTGGAATGGAGAGGGAGGACGGTTCCCGTGAAGATCGACAAAGTGAGGATCTTTTTGTTGGGATTGGCAGATAATGAAGCAGCCATTGCCCAGGTAAGGAGGGAGTCCTTACTCAGTTATGCTTTCTTCTGTGCATGTGGGAGGTTGTCCTCAAGTGTTCAAGACATGGTGGTTTGTTGGTGCTCATTTCTCACAAAACAAAAATTTACCTTAATGCCTTTGGGTATTTAATGTCTTTGGGTATTTAATGCCTTTGGGTATTTAATGCCTTTGGGTATTTGGTAAGACAGGAGATGCACCCTCTTGAATAAAATTATTTTGAAAACACAACTTTATAGGGCCGTTATGGTTAGAAAGCAAAGAGATTGCGATGACAGTCATCCACATAAAAATGGGAGTTTTAGAAGGCTGCTTGAAGAAAGGGGCCTAGCAGGTGGTGCAGCAGTGTAAGACTGAATCCCTGCCTTCCCTCTGACCTGTTGATCTCGACTCCCTGCCCCAAGGTTCATCTCTCATTCTGGGGCTTTTTCAGGAGCACCTTATTAAATCTGAATGTCCTGTCTCGTGTGGGGAATACATGTAAGATTCATGCAGAACTGTGCTTAAGCTGCATGCCTGACGTATTTGCATGTGTGTGGCTGTGAGCAACCAGATGCGTCCTACAGATAAAGAGACTCTGGTGGTCCTGGTGACAGGAGGTGGACAGTGACTGAGGCACATTTTAGAGTTCCTTCTCCATGTGAGGTGAAGGACATCCTTAAAAACAATAGCTGCTGACTGGCCTTTCCAGGGACCAGTGGCATTTCTAAGACTTCTCAGTTCCACTGGGTGTAGGGTATAGAGGGGTGTTTTGCTAATTGTGTTGACAAGTTGTGTTATACATTCAAACTTTTTGACTTACTCCAAAATGGCTACTTTGGGTTGGAACAACATTGAGCAGTTGAAGAATTTGTACTGGTCATTGCCTCTCCCATTTCCCTTTCATTTGCTTAAAGGACACTAGAACGTTACTAGAAAGTTAATTTTTTCTTAAACTAAAAGATTAAGGAGGGCTTGGGATATAGTTCAGTCGGAAGAGTGCTTGCCTCGTATGCATAAGGCCCTGGGTTCCATCCCCAGCACTACACATACACGTATACAAAAAGACTAAAGAGGGTCTGGGGTTGTAGCTCAGTGGTAGAGTGCTTGCTTAACACTTGTAAGGCACTGGGTTGGATCCTCAGAACCATATAAAAGTAAATAAAATAAAGATATTTTATTTTTACTTATTTTTTTTTTAGAGAGAGAGAGAATTCCAATATTTATTTTTTAGTTTTTGGCGGACACAACATCCCCGTTAGTATGTGGTGCTGAGGGTCGAACCCGGGCCGCATGCATGCCAGGCAAGCGCGCCACCGCCCGAGCCACATCCCCAGCCCAAAATAAAGATATTTTAAAAAGAAGGGGGGCTGGGTTGTGGCTCAGCGGTAGAGCACTCACCTAGCACGTGCAAGGCCCTGGGTTTGATCCTCAGCACCACATAAATAAAATAAAGATATTGTGTCCAACTACTACTGAAAAATAAATATTAAAAAAAAAAAAAGACTAAGGGACTTTTTTTGAGAGCATTTTATGGGCATTTTACCTGCTCTGGTGGTGGTGGTACCTGCTCTGGACTAGGGCTCTGGTAGCAATAGTTTTAATTGTGTAAATGAATTAATTAGGTACAGTTTCAAATGCTGGGAGAAGACAGACAGTTCTGTACCAGGCAACAGGGCACTCAGGAATTCTGGCTGGGAGTTTGAGGTAGAGGTCCATAGAGGCACATTATATGGAGGCAGAACCTTAGAAATGTATTGAATAAAGGATAAGAAAAACTAACATTTAAGTAATTTTCTTTCTTTTATTTTTGTAGTACTGGGGGTTGAACCCAGGGACACTTTATCACTGAACTCATCCCAATCCTTTATTTTATTTTTGAGACAGGGTCTCGCTAAGTTGCTGAGGCTGTCCTTGAACTTGAAATCTTCCTGCCATAGCCTCCTGGGTAGCTGGGATCACAGGTGTGCACCATCTCACCCAGCTCTGTTTTATGTTTTATCTATATGGAAGAGTTTTATTTAAAAAAGAAAAGGGAATTTATTAATTTAATGGAAATAGTTAAATTTGTTGGCGTAAAGATTTTTTTATGCCTTTTTTTTTAGTTGTAGGTGGATACAATACCTACTTTTATTTTATTTATTTATTTTTATGTGGTGCTGAGGATTGATCCCAGTGCCTCACAAGTGCTAGGCAATGCTTGGCAAGTGCTCTACCATTGACCACTGAGCCACAGCCCCAGCCCTGGCATAAAGTTCATAATATAGTATTCTCTTGTCATTTAAATGTGTTTAGTGACAGAATGGTTGTCTCCTATTAGGTGCCTGGTTGATGTGCTAGTTATGGTGTATAAAATTATCTCTGGTTTTTAAGGATTTTACAAAAGCTTAGAGTCACTTCTAAGTATTGGAGACCTTTAAATAGTGTAGATCTAAAAAACATAGATGAAGAAAAGTGTGTACTAACTCCAGGGCATTCTAGTAAGATTCTAACATTAAAAACAGTTAAATACCTAATGCCCTGTATTACACATATGCCAAATCAAGCCAGTAAGTAAAATAATTTAAGTAAAAATAAAATAAAATAAAGTCCTGCTAAATCTTTACATGTCCAGCTCCTTGGCTGGTTGACTGTTGAATGATCTGTGGGTTATTAATATGGGAAAGCCCTCTTTGGGCAATCGAGGGTAATCTCAGGAAGAACTATTTGCCCTCTTGGTGCCGCTGTCAGATTATTTGGCTGAATGTAACGGGTGCCTGGCCAGTTCTCAATTTTGTGTTGAGTTTTTCTCTATACTGGGAACCAAGAGCTACCCCTTAGGGATACATGTTGTTTAACTTCAATGTCTCTTATCCCAGCTCATATTGATATATGTCTGCCACTTACTAGGAATTGGAATGCAAGAGTTTAGAAGCCCTAAATTGAATACTGTAACTACCAATTTATTGAAAAGCATGGAAGGAAAAAATAATTCAGATAGGTAAAATATTAGACTGAAAAGACTTGGGCAGAGAGTTAACCAGAAGCGCTCAGTGGTAGAGCACTTGCCGAGAGTTAAGTTAGCTGTCAGAATCCAGTTTCAAATCCTTAATCTCTTTAGCCGAGCATTAAGTCTTCATCCTTAATATTGTCAAACTTTGTACTTATTTCTATATTGCACTTATTTCTTAATACTTGGTCTCTCCTGAATGGTCACTGGTGGTTACATTGTGAGGTTATTCTTAGTCAACTCTTTTGGGGGAGAGAGCAGTTTTAAGTACTGGTATGTTTAATAATTCTTTAAGTTCTGGCTAATTTTTGATGTTTTAGTGGAAGGGAGACTATTTGTCCTTTTCTTTAAAAAAGAAAATCCATTCTCTGGTGAGATTTGTCCCCTTCTTTAATAGATTTCCAGATTTTTTATTTCCTCCCTGGGCTGGATGAAGCCTGGTTCCTGTCCCCACAGTTCTCCTAGGGGTGTGGTGGGAATGTGGCCAGACTTGCCCTGAATGCCTTAGTCACACCATCATCTTCCAGCAATTTCTATAGACAAGTGAAAACAATCTGGAAAGCTGTCGTTAATAGCAGGGCACATAGCAGCAGTTTGCTCCATGCCTATCAGCCTGAAGACACTGCCTTAGACGTGAACCTGAGGCTGTAGACAGCTCATCCTGGATGTTTCACACTTTATAAAAATGGAGCTAGAGTGTTTTAATTTTTTGAACTAGTAAGTAACACATTACTTCTGGACTTAAGATGTCTCCATTTCATAGGCGCCCCCTGGGGAAAAGGTCCAGCCTTTTCCCAAATTCTAATGCAGGGAGTTTGCCACTTGTGTTTAAGAACATGTCCTTGTTGGTTGGGCTTACCACATGACAAGCTGGTGTGTAGGTGGGGCATCCTGCCCCTGCATGTTGAGAGGTGTGTCTTGTTTCATTGTCCTTTCAGGAGTGATCTTGGCCTCAAGTATAAATTCTATAATAAAGTGTAAGCAGCTAGATAGATATATTAAAGACTTCCTTTTGGAGACATTTTACTCTGGCCAGGAAGAATCATGACAAGTTCTACTCAGAGATTAGTGGTCTCTGAGTCACTGAGCTGTGGGTGTCAAAAGGAAAACGTAACTTAGATATTCCCCTTTATTTTTTTAAATGTTTATTTTTTAGCTATAGGTGGACACAATATCTTTATTTTATTTTTATGTGGTGCTAAGGATTGAACGCAGTGCCTCATGCATGCCAGGCAAAAGCTCTACCTCTAAGCCACAACCCCAGCCCCATTAGTCTTCCCCTGTAGATGTGCTTTATTATTATTATTATTTTCATTATAGACGAATGTGATATCTTTATTTTGTTTATTCATTTTTATGTGGTGCTGAGGATTGAACCCAGTGCCTCACAAGTGTGAGGCAAGCGCTCTGCCACTGAGCCACAACCCCAGCCCCATGTAGATGTGCTTTATCCTTCATTATTGTTAAGACTTTTGTAAAATTTCTAGTGGGGCTTCGAATTTTGTGAAGTGTTGGGGAGGTTCGTGTTCAACTCCTTGCTACATAGATTTACTGTCCTAGCAAATAAGGGCAATACATGGCAGTGAAGAGGTTTAACATCCTAGCTTTTTCTTTTGTACTGGGGATTGAACTCAGGGGCACTTTACCACTGAGCCATCTCCCCTCCCATTTTTTTAGACAGGATCTCCCTAAGTTGTTCAGAACCTCACAGAATTGCTGAGGCTGGCCTTAAACTTGTGATCCTTTTATTTCAGTCTCCTGTGTTGCTGGGTTTATAGGCATGTGCCACAGTGCCTAGCTTTTATTTTCAAGCTTAAGCTGTACCCTACCAGAGGGATTGGAGACAGATCTTATGTAGCTGGAAAAATGAAATTTGTTCTTTTGCCTATGCACCCATTGCCTGAATTGCTGATCTATACCCATCTGAAAATGAGTGTTGGTGGCATATTTGTTAGAGTGCATTTTATTCAAACTAGTGCAGAGGTTCATTCTCCCTGCTGATAATGTGGCTCTGGCTCCTGTGTGGTTGGCTGTTTGGATTCTGACGCCCATCAAGGTGCTCACAATATCTTATCCTATTTGTTAAGTACTAGACAGCACCACTATTCCATAGGATTTGTACTTTTACAAGTTTTGGCCAGCAAATTAAAGAATCTTGCCAACTTGTTGGATAAAGTGTATTTCTCTAGAGCAGCACCATCTAGTACAGTGGCCACTCAACATATATGGCTAGTTCCACTTGTTTATTTATTTATACTGGGGTTGAACCCAGTGGCGCTTTACCACTAGACTTTTTTATTTTGTTTTTAAATCTGAGAAAGGGTCTCACTAAGATGCTGAGACTGGCCTCGAACTTGTGATCCTCCTGCCTCAGCCTCCCAAGTCATTGGGAGATATACACCACCACACCCGGCATCTAGTTCCATTCAAACTAATAAAAATCTCAAGTGCTCAGAAGCAACATGTAAGGATGCCACTGCATTGGATGGTTCAGAGAAAGCACTTCATTGTTGCTGAGAGTCCTGTTGTAGTGAACATGGACCCATGTCTGCTTAGAGTTACAGGCCTGTGCCCCTAGTTTGTTCCCCTTAGTGAAGAGTGGGAAACCCAAGTAACCCATAGGTGGAAAAGAATGTTTGCTTTAGATTGGGTAATTTACAGGGGAGACTTTTTTTTTTTCACACTGGAAACTAGGAAAATCATAAGAGTTCTTAAGAGAAGAAAAGAAAATTTTCTTTAAGTTCCTTCCAACCAGCCTTTCTTTGTGCTTCCTTAGAGGTCACTTAAATGTTAAGACATTTTTTCAGATGGAAAGTCAAGTACAATAATGGAATGTTGATGTTTTAATTTCACAGCAGGTCTGCCAGTAACACAAGTTCAGCTCCTTTCTGCCTTCCGTCCATTCCCACCCGCTCAGTCAGATTCTTTAGGACGATAATGTGGTTTGGCAGATGTTCAGTTAGTGAATCATTTTTTTCACTTCTCCCAGCTGTGAAGCAGAAGGTGACACCCAGTACTTGTTAAAGACTGTCATCTCATTCTTTTCCACCTTGTCTGCTCAAAAAGTTGTTCTCAAAATAGACCACATGCAATATCAGAGTACAGAATGTCTGTGGGAAAGAGAACTCATTATGATATTTAGGAGAAATGCTTTTGATTAGATATTGATTAGTAATGTTTATCACTTGCTTGGATCTAAAAGAAAGTCAGAATTTACACATTGGATTACTTTTGTAAAGGGTAGTTCTATTGTCGTCCAATAGAGCTTGCCATTTTTTTCTGGAAGGAGATTTCTGGTGTGCTGTGCCTTGGTGTGAGTAAGCCATAGCTTCTCTAGAGGTTCCAGGTGCCGATCCTGAACAAGGTAGAAGCATTGGAGGACAGCAGAGGAAAGTTCTGTGACTGAGGAAATGTGTAGACCTGCTGCTTGGCAGATCCAGATCAGCCATACAGATGGCTTTCTCATTACCTTCACTTTGAAAATATGATTCCCATTTCTATGTGAATAATGGACAAGGCTGGGATGAAACCCTGGGAGAGGGACAATTAACAGCATCTCTGATTTGGACAGATGTGTGGGGGGGGGGGTGCAGGGTCAAAGCACCGTGATGCCCTCCTCCCCATGGAATACTGAAGTTCATTCAGAACAGTCTCTCGATCCTCTCTGCCTCTGTTCAGGCTGAAAGCGAAGGAACCAAGGAACGGCTGTTTGAATCCATGCTCAGCGAGTGTCGTGACGCCATCCAGGCCGTGAGGGAAGAGCTCAAGCCAGATCAGGTAGGACCATCAGCTGACCTGCCGCTGGGGTCCTCTCAATCTGTCTTGTCCTTAGGGGGTTCCCAGAGATCTCAGCGTATACTGCCTCAGCCACTGGGCTTTTTTAGGCAAAGTGGTCAGCTGACAAACATCAAGGGCCTCTGGGCTCTATCAGGTTGAAAAAATTCATTTCTTTTTATAATTTTCTTCCTAATGGTTTCATCCTGTGATCTCAATTTTTTTTTCCATTTTAATTCTAGGTTTATTCAATGAATTTTCTTCATTCTACAGAACAAAGTACAAACACAACTTTATCTATAATGCTACAAAATTACAAAACCAGGGGCTGGGGTTGTAGCTCAGTGGTGGAGAATTTGCCTAGCATGTGTGAGGTCCTGGGTTCGATCCCCAGCACCACATAAAACTAAATAAACAAAATAAAGGTATTGTGTCCATCTACAAATAAAATTATTTAAAAAAAAGTTAACAAAACCAAAGCAAATTTTATAATACTGACAGTACAATAAACCCCCACCCCCCAAAAAAAAAGCAATGTACATGTGTACATGTTGCCAAGGTTGATCTCAAAATTCTTACCTCCAGGCATACTTCTCTGTGTTCCCTTTTCCTAATAATGTCACTGTGATGCATTCAGCTTTCTGGGTAGAAACCTCCCTGTCACCAAGCCCACTTGCTATCCCTATGTAGTGCCTCTCACCTGTTGTTGCTTCCACCTGTTTTTGTTTTGGTCTTGCAGTGCTGGGGATCGAACCTTGGGCTTTAAGTATGCTATGTGAGTACCTTACCACTGAGCTACATCTTCAGCCTTTTGATTTTTTATTTTAAGACAGGGTCTCACTAAGTTGCTAAGGCTGGCCCCAAACTTCTGATCCTCTTGCCTCAGCTTCTCAGGTAGCAGGGATTACTAGCATGGGCCACTGTACCCAGCTTTTAATTATAGCCTTTCATTGTATACCTATACTATAAAGATCTCTTAATTGCTTGAATCTTTCTAAAGCTCATTCCACTGTCTAATTATAAAATAGTCCGATGATTTTTCCCTAGGTCTTTTTTGTTTTTTTAAGAGAGAAGAGAGAGAGAGAGAGAATTTTTTAATATTTATTTTTCAGTTTTCAGTGGACACAACATTTTTTATTTTATCTTTATGTGGTGCTGAGGATCGAACCCTGTGTCCCGAGCATGCCAGGCGACTGCATTACCGCTTGAGCCACATCCCCAGCCCTTCCCTAGGTCTTGATCAGTGGTCTCCAAACTTATTTTTATGATAATGTGCCCTGTAATTGAACATGTACCTCTGATGTGTTTATTTATAAATTATATACCTTTTTATTCTTCTGATTTGTAATATACAAAATTCATTAAAGTAACATTTCAAAACAGAGATAAACGTAACTAGAAGTTCTTATTTCCTCTGTACCTACGCTTCTTGGTCTTGAGTACCCACCCACTTTCAAGACTACCGTGTGGCACACCTAGGGCAGGTTCCTTAAGCTGCTCCCCCAGCCTGCTTCTGTCTTGCGCTCTGCTGTCTCCAGCTGCTGCACTTGGTCTTATTGTGCCACTCCCAGCTGAGTGCTTTCCATACTCTTGAGTCTCCTTTTACTTCTCACTCCTGGATGCTCTTACCTCTCCCTTTCTACCTATCCAAATGCCACCTATTTCTTGAGGTTCACCTCATAGCCTACCGTCTCAGAAGTATGCCTCTACCATTCTAACCCACAAAAATCTCTGCATTTTCTATATTTCTTTTATTTTTTTAGATGTTGGTGGACCTTTATTGTATTCATTTCTTTATATTCGGTGCTGAGAATCAAACCCAGTGCCTCACATATGCTAGGCAAGTATTCTACCACTGAGCCACAACTTTAGCCCACATTTTCTATATTTGTAATTATTCCAGCTGTAATTTCTCTATGGTAGTCAATCAAATATTGCCTATTTCGTTTTTATTATTTTATTTACTTATTTATTTTGGTGGTAGGTATTGAACCCAGGGCCTTATGCATGCTCAGCACATGTTCTACCACTGAGCTACACCCCCACCCCTTTATTTTTACTTTTTTTTTTTTTTTTAATATTTATTTTTTCTTAGGTGTAGATGGACACAACACAATGCCTTTTATTTTTATGTAGTTCTGAGGATCAAACCCAGGTCCCGCCCATGCTAGGCAAGCGCTCTACCACTGAGCCACAATCCCAGCCCCTATTTTTACTTTTTTTATTTTTCTGTGGTACTGGGGATTGAGCCCAGGATCTTACACATACCAGGCAAGCACTGAGCTACATCCCCAGCTCATTTTATTTTATTTTGAGATGGGGTCTTACTAGGTTGCCTAAACTGACCTTGAACTTGCAGCCTCCCTTCCTCAGTCTCCCAAGTAGCTGGGATTATGGGTGTGTACCCCACACCTAGCTAACATTACCTCTTTCTCAAAATGTATTGGATTTCTATTGTGGGAAAAGATAACAAATTTGCCATCCTTTTTTTTGGTTCTGGGGATGGTTCTGGAGCTGTGGCTCAGCGGTGGGGTGCTTGCCTTGCGTGTGAGGCACTGGGTTCAATCCTCAGCACCACATAAAAATTGTGTTCATCTACCATTAAATAAATATTTTAAAAAATGGTTTTTGAGTTGCTTGGTTTGCTCAATTAAATCACTGCTTACTCCAAGTAGTCATTTGCTTCCTTCTGCCATTAAGCTGTCATTACAGTACGTTTCCCTTCACCCTCAAGTAGTCCTCAGGTAGGCTGGACTCCATAGGACCTCAACAGAGGGTCCTATGGAGTCCAGCCTACCTCACTCACAGGGGTTGAATGCACAGGGGTTGGGGGGATACCTCATAGAATGGAACAAATGTGGCAAAACAAAGCTGCATTTGTGGTAATATTACCACATTCAGTGGCTTAAAATAACGTATTTATTATCTTACACTTTGGGAGGTAAGAATCTGAAGTGGCTTTTCAGTGCTGCTTTCCTGTTGGAAACTATAGAGGAATCTGGGGAGAATCCATTCCCAGTATTCCAGAGAATGCATTTCCTGGCTTCTAGAAGCCATCTGCATTCCTCCATCTTCAAAGCTATCAGCTGAACATCTTCTTTCCTCTTCCCTCTTCTTCAGTTCCTATACCTTCTCTAACTCTGACCCTTCTGGAGCTGCTTCTTCTAAGGATTCTGTGGTTAGGTTGGGCTTATTTGAATGATCCAGGATAAGCCCAGAAGCCCTTAATTTAATCACATCCGCAGTGTCTCTTCTACTTTATGAGGTGACATCGTCACAAATTCTGGAGGTTAGGATACAGGTCTTAAGGGGGCCATTATTCAGCCATCCAGAAAATGCAAGCTCTAAAGAGCACACAGCACAGGATTAAAGCTTGGGTATGAGGCACAAACCCTAAAGGGAAATCGCAGACTGTCTTTTTTTAATACTTGGGGTAAGATTCTGGGAGAATGGGGCAGGGAGCCTCAACTGGTCAGTATTCTGAATTCTGTTAGTCAAGGCCCAGTTTTAGATGACAGTGGTATGCTATAATATGTTACCAAATCTTTTAATAGTTGAGGACCCCCCAAACACTAGTCTGTGTATTCAGGGGATTTTGAGAACCACACCTCTGAAGGAGGTGTTCAGACCCACAGATAGGAGTTTTACTTTTTTACCTTTTTCACCTTCTGCAGAAACAGAGAGATTACACCCTTGATGGGGAGTCAGGAAAGGTATCTAACCTCCAGTACCTGCACAGGTAAGGGTTATTTTACTTTTTCTAATTTTCAAATATGTGTGTGAGTTTATTTTTTGCAGTGGATATGATCAAACTCTGGGCCTTGTTCATGTGAAGCAAGCACTCTATAAGCATTGAACTATACTGTGAATTTTTCTACTATTATTGTTGTAAAATATATCTATTCGAACAAAAGAGTATAAATGTTTGTGCACATTTTATTTTATTTTGTTTTTGTTTTTGCAATACTGGAGATTAAACCTAGGTGTGCTTTAACACTGAGCTACATCCCTGGTGCTTTTTATTTTGAGACAGGGTCTTGCTTAGTTACTCAGGCTGGCCTCAAACTTGTGATCTTCCTGCCTCAACCTCTCAAATTGCTGGGATTACAGGCATGCGCCACTCTGCCCAGCATACATTTTAATTTTTAATTTCTTGGTAGCATGATGGCACACATTTGTAATCCCAGCTACTTGAGAGGCTTAGACAAGTTGCAAGTTTGGGCAACTTAGACCCTATCTTAAAATAAAAATTGAAAAGGGGAAGAAGTTGGGCACAGTGGTGCACATCTGTAATTGCAGTGGCTCAAGAGGCTGAAGCAGAGGGATCAAGAGTTCAAAACCAGCCTCAGCAACTTAGCAAGGCCCTAAGCAACTCAGTGCGACCCTGTCTCTAAATAAAATATTAAAAGGCCTGCTGGTGTGACTCAGTGGTTGAATCTCTAGTGATGCAAAAAAAAAAAAAGTTGTGTGTGTGTGTGTGTGTGTGTGTAAAATGTATATGTATATATAATTTATTAATATGTAACAAGTAACATTACTGCATATAAGTACATTTTATCATATAATAGTATACGTACTGCAGTTGGGTACAGTGACACACACCTATAATCCCAGTGACTTGGGAGGCTGAGGCAGGAGGATCACAAATTCAAGTTCAGCCTCAGCAACTCTAAGCATGACCCTGTCTCTAAATAAAAACTTTTTTTTAAAAAAAAAGGTCTTGGCATGGGCTAGGGTTGTGACAAAGCATGTGTGAGGCATTGGGTTTGGTTCTCAGCACCATATAAATAAAAATAAGTAAGTAAACAAATAAAGGTCTATCAACAACTAAAAAAAAAAAAAAATTCTGAGCATATCACTCAGTGGTAGAGTACCCCCTGGGTTCAGTCCCCAGAACTAAAAAAAAAAAAAAAATGGTTTGTATTCTGCTTTGTATTATATAATGTAAGCTTAGAAGGTAGAGCACGATTCATAATTTCAAAGCTCCCTGTGTCCCCCCCAGCTTATTCCTCCCCTTCTTCTAGAGCTAACCACTCTCCTTCCTAGTGCCAAGCTCTGATTTTTATTCACCTTTGTGTTCTGAATATTTTGAAGTTGTCCCTTTCATGTTTAATTTCTCCTCAAGTTTTATTCCATCTGTAGTTATTTTTGTGTAAGGTAGGAGTCTGCTTCACTTTTTTGCATCAGGATAATGGGTTATTCTAGTACAGCTTACTGAGCACTCCACCCTTTCTTCATGCTCTGCGGTACATTTTCCTCTTGTGGACACCCTCCACTGCCTTCCGCTTCATTGACCTACTGGTCTTTACTTCATTGGTGCAGTGAATTACTGTAACTTCACATTAAGTCCTGAAAGCTAGTAGAGGAAGTTCCCATCACCAGGTATTTCCCTGGGCGTGTCTTGACCATTTTCTTTGTGATTTTAAAATCACTTTTGTCAGTTTGGTGTGTGTGTGTGTGGGGGGGTGTGGTATAGGGGATGAACCTAGGGCTCCACCCACATTAGGCAAGTGCTTTACCTGGGAGCTACACCTCCATTCCTGGTTTTCATTTTTTTTTAAATATGGGGTAGGGCTGCAGGTATAGCTCAGTGGCAGAGCACATGAGGTCATTCAAAAAGAATAAACATAGGTTATAGGTTATTTTGTTTTACAGAGGAAAGAAGAGTGACCTTTTTTTTTTTTCCGCTAACATTCTGGGGAGAAATATTAACCTCTGAAAACTACTTCTCATCAGACTTTTCCATTTGACCTTGAAAGTTTATTTCTTAGCCACTGCTTATAACTTAGATGATAAACCTACCATTTCCCTTGCCCATCTTCTTCTTTTTTTAATCCTTGTGTTTGTTGCTGTAACCCTGGGCCTCGCACACACTAGGCAGGCACTCTGTTACTGAGCCACATACCTAGTCCCTTGTGATTTTGTTTTTATTTTAAAAGAAAAAAAAAAGGGCTGTGGATGTAGCACAGCAATAGAGCACTTGGCTAGCACACACAGGACCCTGAAGTCCATCCTCAGTGCTGCAAAAAAAAAAAAAACAGAAAACAAAAATCAGTATACTTTACACTCGGTATCCATTTTTAGGTATTTGGTATTATGTGAATGTCATATTGACTGCCAGATGACTCAGATACATAGAATACTAAGTGAGAGAGGCCCTGAGATGTTATCTGTTTCAACAGCCTGAGGAGAAAGATGTGGCTCCTTGAGTCTTGGTGACCACTTATAGTCACTGAAGAGGCATCCAGAGTTGCTCTGACCTTCTGACCTTGAAAAGACTCTCCAAAACCTTTACCAGTGCTGAGGAAGTTTGGAAACCTTGGGTCCATTCTTTCACCTTCAGATTAGCTAGTTTCAGTGTCATGGATTTCCATGATGGGAAGGCCAGATTTGAGGAAAAACAGATGAACCAGAAATCAGGTGGCTTGTATCATTTTGTGTATAATAGTGTTTGGCAGTCTGAGTTTTCTGCAAAGCTTTTTAGGAAATTTATCTCATGACCTTCTCAACCATTTCTTGGAAGCAGCTGTTCTTAATTTTGTTCATGAAATAAAGTCTTTTGGTATTCACCTCCTTATCTCTCTAAATGACATGTGTACTTGCTACTTCTTGATGAGTCATTTTTCAACCTTCCAGTGTAGCCCTAGTCTTGCCTGCTTTGTGTGCACACCACCACTAACTACATCCCCAGCATGGCTTTCCCAGTTTTTATGCCATCTAAAAGCTTATTTGTATTCTTTTATCTTTGTTGTTGTTGAATAGTTTATGAGATTTTTGTTCCCAGCAAAATCTGGTTCTTCCAGGTTGCTTGATTTCCCTTTGGAGTTTGGCCTCCTCTTTCTTATTAGAGGTTTTTCTTAATGTCTACTGATCTTGCTCCCCACTCCAGTGGAAGGAGGGGGCTTCTCAGGTGGGGTTGCTGTGTGTGTGCACGGGGCTGCTTGGGCATGGTCCTTACTTAGGTGTTTGGCTCTTCTTTTCTATGGAAAAAACCCCCTAAGAATCTTACAGGGTTTTCTCTTGGGCTGGTCTGATCCCTGGAATATATCTGGCCGTTCTTGTTCCGGAAGCTGAGTAGAGAGGGCCTGGGATTCACACTTGTACTTTATAGTCTCTTAGTCCTCATGGACATTATGAAGTTCTTGACCTCCACTGGCCTATGTCCCTGACCTCAGGCCTCTTTTGCATCCTCTCAAGAAATGGCCTCTAGCCGAGTAAGGTAAGGTTTGAGAGTGCTGAATTCTTAAACACTCACCATGTTTTTACTCCAACCTAAAATAAGTATTACATGTCTTCTTATATCCACGTGGCTAGTGAGCACAACCATCTAGAGAGACTGTCTCGAAGAAGGTCATTGAGGAATGGGGGCAGTTGTGCATGCACACACCTGCATAGGCAAGTCTTTGTTCCAGAAACTGGCTTCCACCCATGGACCTTCTTAGAGATTAGTAACAGCCTCTGAAGCCAAGAGCTGTGTGACTCAAAAAATATACAGAGGACCTAATTTAATCTGAAATAAAATTTTGTGATAAGATCTCATTCAGGTTCCCTACAAATTTGCCACTGAATAGCTGCTCAATTAAGAGGCCCTGTGAGCCTGAAGCCCAGATCAGATAGCCCTGATGTGTGACACACCCTTACTTCACATGTCCCCTAGGTCAGTCCTAACTTATAGTCCCAACTCATAGAGCTTCTCTAAGTATGACCTGAGCTGACACATGGTCCATTCCAGCTACCTAACTTACATCAAGCTGTCGACGGCAATCAGGCGTAATGAGAACATGGCCAAAGGCCTGCAGAAGGCTCTGTTGCAGCAGCAGCCAGAAGACGACAGCAAGCGCTCTCCCCGGCCCCAAGACCTGATCCGGCTCTACGACATCATTCTCCAGGTGACCCTTGGGGACCAGGAAGGCAAGGACTGCCTTCTGCCTGTGTTGGACACCAGTGACTTAAGTTTGCATACAGAAGGGCCATGGCACCAAGGAACATTTAGTAAATGGATGAAAGACAAAGATCTTGGCTCATTTTAGTGGTCTGTGAGCCCCCATACTTCAGTGTGTTGAAGTGGAGAGACTCATAAGCCCACAGGTATTAACTTCCCTATGTAAGATATTCTCTCTGCAGCAGTGGTACACCTGTAGTCCCAGCTGCTTGGGAGGCTGAGGCTGGAGGATCACTTGAGCCCATGGGTTTGAGACCAGCCTGGACAGCATAGTGAGACTGTCTCAAAAAATAAGTAAATAAAAAGATATTCTACCAGACGCTCTGGAGACCTGAGTTCCTACTGTCTCAGCCCACTGGGAGTTTGTTAGCTAGTAAGATTGCTATACATGCATACACACACACAAGGTATCTGTATAGCTGCCAAATGCGTGGGTCACTCCGAAATAAAAGTTCAGAGCTGGAAGATCCCTTCCAGTCCAAGAAGTCTCTGAAGGTGGGTGAGATATGAATTGATTGGTAAACTTGGTGTCTTAGAGGGGGCCAGGGGACACCAGATGCAACTATTGCCCTCACAGACTTTGCTCATCATTTTGATCACAGACTTTTTTTCTGCCCTTATCTCTTCTTATAAGGTCTCTGACAAGAACTTGTTCTGAGGTCTTCTCATTTTCTTCTTTCATCTGTTATACAGAATCTGGTGGAATTATTACAGCTTCCTGGCTTGGAGGAAGACAGAGCCTTCCAGAAAGAGATAGGCCTGAAGACCCTGGTGTTCAAGGCATATAGGTAACATCCTGAGAAGGACAGCAGGGCTGTCTTATGCCTCACAGTGGTTCTATAAGTTTTTGGCCATGGCCTACCCCATAGTAGATGGGGTTGTTACCTACTAGGGTTTTTGAAAAAAAAAAAAACAGATGAAACAGGTGGCACACACCTCTAATCCCAGCAACTCGAGGGACTGGGAGGCAGGTGAATGGCAAATTTGAGGCTAGCCTCAGCAATTTAGCAAGTCCGTGTCTTAGAATACAACTTTTTTTTTTTTTTTTTAGATGTTGGGTGGGCCTTTATTTTGTTCACTTATTTATATGTGGTGCTGAGAATCCAACCCAGTGCCTCGCACAAGCCAGGCAAGTGCTCTATTACTGAGCCACAACCCCAGCTCCCATGAATACACTTTTTAAAAAGACTGCAGATGTAGCTCAGTGTTAGAGTACCTCTGGATTCAATCTCCAGAATCACAAAAAAAGGAAAATATGAACAGAGATGAGTCATTGCAGAGAGTGGCAAGTGCGATTTTTGGGGGGAGATGGGGTACCAGGGATTGAACTAGGGGGCACTCACCTGCTGAGCTGCATCCCCAGCCCTATTTTGTAATTTATTTAGAGACAGTGTCTCACTGAGTTGCTTAGCACCTCTCTGAGGCTGCTTTGAACTCACAATCCTCCTATCTCAGCCTTCCAAGCTGCTGGGATTACAGGTGTGTGCCACGGGGCCCAGCTGGCCAGTGGGATTTATATTTCTGCCAGACAAGTGTTTCCTCCTGCCTATCCGAGGCTGCCACCATCCTCTTTTGGGGAGCTGTCCTGTGTTTGCAGAGTGCACTAGTAAGCGAAAGACGGGCTATGTATTGAACCTAGGTGGTCATCTCTGATTGCTGGGAAGGACCTGTACCTTAGCCAAGCAAACCTGACCATTGTTGTGGGGGGTTCCAAGGTGGTGATCCTGAATTCTGTTTCCAAGTTTGAAGTAAGCCTAAACTGCATGGAAAGCTTTGCTCTTGGGCAACTATTGCTTTAGAATACTGTGGCTCTTTTCCCCTCCCCAACAGGTGTTTTTTCATTGCTCAGTCCTACGTGTTGGTGAAGAAGTGGAGCGAAGCCCTTGTTCTATACGATAGAGTCCTGAAATATGCAAATGAAGTGAATTCAGATGCTGGAACCTTCAGGAACAGCTTAAAGGTGAGCTATCAACTGCTCCTTGTCTCCCAAGTCCAGGAGGTCAGGTGGTGAGATGGTGCAGGGGCCCCTCTGGGGGCATGCCTGCAGGGTGCTTCCCAGGCTGGATTCCTGGTCCCCCTTGAGCTGTAGGCTGAGTAAAAGATGGGTGTCTGGGTCCCTGTCCTTGACCACCAGAGAGTGAACATGTGCTTTCGAAAGCCTCTCAGTGATTCTAATGTGCAGTGAAGTTGAGAACCACTGGCAAGGCCTTCTTGTACAGAGTATGTCCAAGCCCAGTAGCATGGGGAGCTGGTTAGAATTACAGACTCATGGGCCCCAGCCCTGACCTTAAGAGTCAAGAGTCTGTGTTTTAACTGGACCCTAGGCAATGTGGGTGTCCAGTCATGCTTAGAAAGTACCCATCTGAAATACAGCCTGAAAGACTCCACAGCTTGCTTGATCTCACTGATTGGCGAGTACCACCTAGCTATGTAATCTTGTAGACTGCTGTGAGGAGACATAGCTTTTTAAACATTGGCTGGGCCAAGGAATCTATGTGTGTTTTAGAGTAGAGACTGTTGAAAAGAAAATTAGTTTTACTGTCATTCATGGAGTCACAGTCAGCATTTGAGAGCTGCTGCTTTGTGCCTGGGACACCAGGCCCCAGGAGGAAAAATGTCCTCCTGGTTTTGGCCTTTAGAGAGCATGTGGCTTTATAGTAGCCTGAAGACCCATATGTGGGAATCTTGCAAAGACAGAGGGTTGGGACTAGGACTCAAGGGCAGAGCACATGTTGAGCATGTATGAGACCCTGGCTTTGATCCCCAGCACCACAAAAGAGAGGCATGGTGTACAGACAAGGGAATAGGAAGGAGGGATGGAGGTGGGGCAGAAGAGGGGTATGGATAGTGGCAGCATCACTACAGTGGGATGTCATTTGGGGACAAAGCCACAAAGCAGTATGGATCATTCATCTCTGGAGAAAAGAATGAGCTGTTGTATAAATATCCACCTGACCTTATATGCTGAATGGTTTGGGGGAAGTGTCAGAGAATGGAGGCAGGAAGGATTATGTAGTGGCCAGACCTTGTCAGATCATTACCACTATGCCAAGTAATTCTGAGGCCAAGAGCAAGGTATCACTGTCCTAAAAGTGGGGAGATGTAGTGGCTTTGATTCTGAGCACCTGCTCTGCTCCCCAGGCTGCGGCTGCCACAGTCTTCGACATCTCCACACTGCAGGATTTTCACCTGCCAAGTGGAGGTACAAATGATCCTAATTGATCCAGAACATTGAATCAACACCTAGGTGGACGGTTTAGAACAGTGCTGGCACATGGGACATTTTATGCATGGTCACTTTATTAATATTACCATTACTATTTCAGGCATCATTACTGAAGCAATGGCATAGCTTTTCCCTCTTGAAACAGGCCAGTTTTGTTTTTGTTTTTGTTTTAAATAGAACCATTTTAAAAGCCCCAATCCTATGAGAATCCCAGTGGGATCGCATAACCCAGGTTAGTGTGGTGTGCCGCTCCGGCCCGGCCCACTCCTGAGCGCGCCTTCTCGGAATCATTGCAGGACCTGCCTGACGTGCAAGAGCTCATCACCCAAGTGCGGTCAGAGAAGTGCTCCCTGCAGGCTGCAGCCATCCTGGGTGAGCCACTTGCCTTGTCTGGGCTACTCTGTCCCCAGAGTTCCCTTTCCTGTCCCTCCTCTTCTCCCCCACACCCTCCCTGCACTAGCCACTATTTTAAGCCTAATGTGGAAAAGGGTTGTTGCATTAGTTCGTTTAAGCATTTATTTTTCCCAGGCTTTCCTTCCTTTTTTGTTTGTGGTACTGGAGATTGAACCCAGGGGCATGCTATACCCTTGCCCCTTTGTATACTTGAGACAGGTCTTACTACATTGCTCAGGCTGTCCTTGAATTTGGGGTAAATCTTCTGCCTCAGCCTCATAATTAGCTGGGATTATGGATGTGTACCACCCTGCCTGACTGGGGTCTTTTCTTTTGCCACATTAGGCACTGAACTATACAAAGGGACTTAGAGGAACACTGTCATACTGTCCTTTCTCCCCCTCACCATCTTGCATCCAGCTGTGGCAAGGCCAACCACAATAGATCTAGGAATAATCATTCCTTTATATCAATTCTTGGCAGAATTTGGACCCAGAAGGGAGATGGCTAACTCCCTACATGCTGTCTACCCTTGCTCTTGGATTTAGAAGTCCCGCTTGAAAAGACTTCTCTTTTCTTATTGAATCTCTGTGATACTTTCAGATGCAAATGACTCCCATCAAACAGAGACTTCCTCCCAAGTCAGGGACAATAAGGTAAGCTGGCTGTGGTTCCTGAGGAACTGGAGGATTAATAACTCCCTTGGAATGAGTAAATGTATAGCAGAAGGCCCTTCCTTTCTAGAGAAATCCTCTATTTATTCTCCCCCACCCCACCCCACCATTCTCTTGTTCTGAGGCCTGTGAGTTGCCTGGGTAGTTGGGTGTCTGAATTGCCCTAGGGGAGAACACAGAGGAAGTTGTTGCTGTGCAGCTTTGGAGAGCTTTGACCTGAACTTCAGTAGACCTGTAACCCGTTGGTGTCATTGACTGACCTAGAGTATAGGGCTGTGGTAATGCTCCATCCGGAGATTGTGGGAATGGAAAGAGAGAATGACCATGGGAATGGAAAGTAGTGAACTGGGTGCCCAGAGCATAGTGAAGTCCCGCAGGGGGCTCTTCTGTGATTAACACCTTTGATTTGACCTCCAGCCTCTGGTTGAACGGTTTGAGACCTTCTGCCTGGACCCTTCCCTCGTCACCAAGCAAGCCAACCTTGTGCACTTTCCACCGGGATTCCAGCCCATTCCTTGCAAGCCTTTGTTCTTTGACCTGGCCCTCAACCACGTGGCCTTCCCACCCCTTGAGGACAAGTTGGAGCAGAAGACCAAGAGTGGCCTCACTGGATACATCAAGGGCATCTTTGGATTCAGGAGCTAACCAGGCTCTTCTTTGGAGGCAGGGGAGATTCTGACTCTAAATCTGTTGTGAGAAAGTCCCAGCAAGTTCCATGGTATTAAATCCAGGTCTATATTGGCCCAGGGTGGAGCTCAGCATGCTCAGCCCTGCCTTCCTATGTCTTGTGTGTTTGTGCACTTACGTTCTTAACCCATGTTGCAAGGGCACCCTTCCCTCTTTGGCCATGTGTCAGGGTTGCTCTGTCTCTGTACCTCCTAGGGGACCTCTGTTGTCTGGTCCCCTGTGAGCCATGATTGGTTACCTTTGGTCAGTAATACAGTCAGGGTTCCACACAAGGATGGGTGGGGCCTTGAAATGTTAGGTCATGTTTCTTCAGTACCATGGATCTGAAATGAACTCATCCTTGCTGTGAGCATCCAGAATCCTTGAGGTTTGTTGATGACTGTGAAGCATTGGCAGTGTCACCCCAGAGTTATGGTCAGCCTTATCCCCTTCACCTCCAAGTAAACATAAAGTTTCAGAACAAGCAGAGAGCTCTATTTTTAGAAGAAATACGTTACATTCAGAAATGACGAAACCAAATCTTATATTAAAAGGCAAATATGATGGCGACTGTGCCCATTTTTTACATGCCCTCCCTCACATCCAGCCCAGCTCTCCTCGGGGCCCTGGTTGAATGAGCCTGTGAGGTTGAGTGCGTCCTGGCTTCTGGCAGCTGGGTATATAGTCCATGCCAGATTCGGACCTGTTAGAAGCACCATTTTTAAGAAGAGTTCCCAGTCTGTAATTTCAAATGCCATCACATTTTAAATCAGTCTCCTTCTTTACCCTTTTACTTCTCTCCTTAGTCATCCTTTTTTATTTTTACTGTGGCATCAATAATAGACACCAAAAAAGCAATGTAAGAAAGAAGGAATAAAAGTGATTTAAACATGAGCTATATCTGACACCTCTGAGTCCCTTTGGAAGTCGAATCTCACTTGTCTCACAGCAAAGAAAACCCACCCAAGAAATAGCAGCTCATGTGTGGTGCAGACATTGAGCAGACAGGGCTGCTTGAAGGGAAGGCTGGAGACAGAGGGTCTGAGACTGTTACTTCAAGGTGGATCCCTGCAGTAGGCACAGCCAGGCTCCCTGTTTCCCAGCCATGGTAGGAAGGGGTAACCTGGAGCTGGACAAGGTAGGAGACCTATGAGGCTTCTCCTTAGAACTACATGTTGTCGAGGGCTCTGGAGATGCTGGGGGAGAGGGGTCTGTTTTCCCCTAAGACTTGTTTGGGGTCAGAGAACCTCAAAAAGCTGTTTTGTTCATTCATGTGTTCAGTTTTATTCTGGTGCTAGGGGTCAAACCCAGGCCCTTGTGCCTGCCAGGCAGATATCCTGCCAGTAAACTGGGCCTCCAGCCTCTTGGGTTTTTTTTTCATTTGAAAGTTTTACCATCTACTTCACACAATTTAGGCATATTTTTTCTTCCTGCATCCCTTTGAAGGTACAACCCAGTCCCTGCCCGACTCTCTGAGTAGCATTGACTGCTGTTAGCCCCTCACTGACGTAGACCATCGTGTTTAGTATTAAAATTGTGTTTACCGAAGAAGACAGACTTGGCAGGGCCCAGGTCTCTTTTTAGCCCACGCAACCTCACATGGGGTCCCGGGACACTAAGCAGTCGGTGTCGTGCGGAACAGAGTGCCAAAAGCAGGGCTTGTCCTGTCCTCGGCTCCCCAGATAGCTCTGCCTCTGATAGGACCAGGTCCTGAGTCAGGCCTTGCTGCCCCTCAGCTGGCACAATTTGCTAGAGGGTGTCCCTGAATGAGGTGGGTCCTGTTCATTTCCCTCCTTCCAGATGGACTCTGGTACCAGCAGAGGTTCTGATGCTGTCCATCTCTTCCTCTTTATCAAGACAGGAGGAGCTCCACAGAGAAGCTACTCAGTCTATTTTAAACCCACCCCCCCACTCCCCACCCCCCGGTCTGCTGCAGTAACAGTTTCTGTTTTCCTTTCTGCGATTGCGATGGTCTCCATCTGAAGGGACATTGGAGGCCAGCCCAGGGTTCTGTTTGGAGCAGTAAAAGGAGGCGCGAGAAACCCTGAGCATCTCTGGGTTTTTCCACTCTCCATGCACTGGTTTGATGTACTGTCTCCTCTCTGGTTTTACAGTAAGTCAGTATAAATTATTGGACACATTGATGAAGTGAAACACTGCTGGGCTTGGTTCCCAACTCCTTCCTCTGGGGCCACCTGAGCATCTCACCATGGCTGCACGGTGATAGCCTGTGATGACAGCATGCCCCTTGTCCCACAATGGCCCTGCACCACAGCTGGATTTTTCCTGGTGGCCTCTGCTCCTCCAGGAGAGGAAGGCTGATGCCTGGGGTTTGGAGTATGAGGAGTGTGCTCTGTTCTCTGTCATCACTGTTGCAATGTGAATTTCTCACATGCAAGGCATCATTAATTACACACACATAAAATCAGTCACGGTTCCGGACAGCACATTGCTGTCTGCAGCCTTGAAACACTTGGAACATTCAGAGGTCTAGGAAAATATCCAAAGATAGCAAAAATATGTGTGTGTTCTATTTTTTTTTTAAAGACACTTGTTGCTACAAAGGAGATGGAAAGCAGATTTAGCTGTAAAATTTATTGATGTTCAAGCAAAAAGAATAGATTGGAAGCAGCCTGCACCCTGACACCACCAGCGAGTCTGTTGATGTTAAAGACGCTTATGCAGCGGGTGCTGCTGGGCTGCCAGGTGTGGGAAGGGGCAGTGGTTGGGGCCCTCTCTGGGGCAGGCTGGCAGGCAGTCCTTTTCAAACTGTTAAAGAGACTGGTCTCAACTTGTAGCCTGGTGTTTTGTGTGGGCCTGGCTTTGCAGGCAGGATTCTCATTTCTGCTTAACAGCCCTATCTGAGACCATCTGTGTGCTGAGCAGCTGAGACCTGTAGAGATCTTCAAGGAACTCAGGACCACTTTATTTTCTCAGCCATCCCTTTGCAAGCCAATGTTCACTGTTGGAAGAGTTTCTGCAAGGTGCCTGTTTGCAGCGGGTGATTGTGTTCAACCCCATTTACTGTGACGATGTTCTCATGCTCGTCTATACTTGAATGAATGCTCGCTGCTTGGCAGAGAACCACAGCCTTGCCAGTAGGCTGAACTGTTCCCAGGCATCTTGTGACAAGAAGCAATCTAGTGACAATAGATTCCATGAGAGTCGAGCACTGGTAGCTCTATCCATTTGGGAATGGAAAATGGTTGCTTGGCCACCAGCAACTTCTCCAAAGCCCCCAGAAGAGCAATAGCAGAGAGAGCAGAATCCCACTGGGCACCACCATCCCAGGCCTGTTGGCCCTACCCAACTTGCTCAGCTTCTGAGCAGACTCCTCGCACCTACAGGGCAGGGGCATCTGTTTCTTACTCTGGGAGGAAGATGCATAGACATTTCCTCACTGTAAACTGATAGCAAGGACAGGCCCCCAGATGGTCCAGGCCCAGGATCCAAAGTGAGTTGGTGAGCAATGCACTAAGAGGCCCTCGAACTCGGACCCACCCTTCCCCCTCTGCCACCTTTTCTTTTCCTGTTTTGGTTTTTTTTTTTTTTTTTTTAAGTACTAGGGCTTAAACCCAGAGAGCTCTACCACTGAGCTACATTCCTCGCCCATCTTTTGAAACAGGGTCTCACTAATTTGCTGAGACTAGTCTCAAATTTGCAATCCTCCTGCCTCAGCCTTCTGAGTGGCTGGGATTGCAGGTGTGTGCTACCACACCCGGCTCCCCTTCTGGCTTCTGAGCAGAGTCCTGCTAAGTCTAAACAAAGCTGTTAGGACAACAGGTAGATAGACTTAGGCCTTTCCAATTTCCTGGTGATGAAGACAGGTTAAGCAAACCTCCCCTCAGCCATGAAGACTGATGTTGGGTTTGAATGTCTGTTTTATGAACACTTTCTCGCAGAGCAGTGCACCCAGCAGGTGTGCCAGCACCCTGCTACTGTGGCTCAGCTGGCAGGGCTATCAGCTTCGGAGCCCACAGGCCCCAGACCTATTGATTAAGATCTGCCATAAAGGTACCAGAGGCCCTGAGCCCAAGGGTAACTTGAGGAGGCCCAGAGATCCAGCAGTTCCTGAGCAAGCCTGGGAGGGCCATGCCCCTGGGGTGGGCAGTGGGGTGTGTTACACATTGTGGGAGGGAGATGTGTGCTGTACCTGCACTGGTCCTACAGGTGATCGCAGGCTGGCCTCTAGGGCTCAAGGCCTGTGAAGGGGATCATTCATGGGGAGCAACAGATATGCCAGGCAGCTTTGGATTTGGGGACTTTCAGTGTTCCCGTTGTGTTCTCTGGCCATTAGTATGAGTCCTATTCTCAACACAGGCAGGTTTGTGTTTGGGGGTTTGGTTTTTAGATGCTGCTTCTAGGTCCTCCCTGTAAAAGTTTCCAAAGGAACAGCCAGCACTTTCCCTCCTGGCTGCTCTGGTTAGGAGAGCCACATAGCCTTTGCTTCTCTCCAGCGGACCTTCAGCATTTCTTTTTATCAGACTGTTGGTCAAATTCACATCCAGAAGAGCCTCCTCCAGACAACCCTGCAGATTCCTGGGGCCTCGGCCTCTACCCCAGCCTTGAGACTGTGCAAGTGGAAGGTGGCCCAGCCCTCATATTTCCCTGCCACTTGCCTGTCCTCTCTAGGCCCAGCTGGTGCAGGCACTCTGCTCCTCAGAGGGTCAAGGGGCATAAGGAAGGGAAGGCTATTTAGCCTGGGTCCAAGGGTCTGTTGGCAGAGTACAAATAGCAATTTCCTGAAAAAGCAGAGCCTGTCCTCATCAGGGAGCAGCCTAATGATCCCAGGACAAGAGAACTGCCACCATCTGCTTCATCAGGGCCCCCTGAACTGGAGGAGAAAGTGGACAGCTAAGGACTTAAGCCCAGGCACGCTCACCAAGTGCCACCCTGTGGCCTGGCTGTGTGGCCTAGCTGCCTGTGTGCCTAGCTGCCTGTGTGCCTAGCTGTGCGTGGCAGCCTCAGGTGCTGGGAGCTATGCTGCTTTCAGTCTGCTCAGACCGCAGGCCCATGAGCTGTGTGGAGCTCCAGGCTAGCGATGTAAGCCAGCTGCAACTAAAAGTAGGGAATCCTGATCTCAAATCTCAGTCCATGGAAGAGAAAGCCATGAAAAAGCAAGGGCAGGACAAGAAGCCAGATGAGAGGAGATGCGCCAGGGCCAAGACCTGAGGAAGCTGGAAGGAGTCACCCTGTCTAGCTGCCAGGTCAGAGTCTCAGAATTCTATCATGAACGACAAAGGCAGGTCTTCCCTGTATTTCTTTAATTTCCTAATAGCCATATTTATTTATTTATTCTTGTGGTACTGGGATTGAATCCAGGGTTTCTACCACTGAGCCCCAGCCCTTTAGTTTTTATATTTTGAGCCAGAGTCTTGCTAAGTTTCTAAGGCCAACCTCAAGCTTACAATCCTCCTGCCTCAGGCTTTGGAGTGGCTAGGATTAAAGGTCTGTGCCACCACGCCTGGCAAGTGGCTACATCCCCCCACCCCACCCCATGGTGCTAGGGATTGAACCCAGGGCCTCATGCACAACAGGCAAGTGCTCTACCCCCGAGCCACATTCACCAGACCAAGAAACCACATTTTAAAAAGAAAAAACAACAGGTCAAATTAAGAATGCATTTCATTTAACTGAATATACCCAAAATATTACAACATGTAATCAGTATAAAAATTAATAATGAGGGGCTGGGGTTGTGGTTCAGAGGAAGAGCACTTGCCTAGTATGCATGAGGCACTGGATTTGACCCTCAGCATCGTGTAAAAATAAATGTATTGTGTACACTGATAACTAAAAAATAAATATTTAAAAACAGTGAGACATTTATGTTCTTTTCTCATAGTAAGTTTGAAATTCTGTGTGAATTTTACATGTATATTACATATCAGTTT